AACTTGAGACCAACTCGAGTTGCAACCAGAGTCAAGGAACGGATTAAGTTCATAACTAGAGGTACCACTGTATCTGGAATCAGGCCTACTTCTCAGAGAAACTCCTTCATCCCCTTCCTACCACTCTTTCACCAGCTGTTAAAAGCCTATTTATTTTAGCAGGTTTATCAAATTATGTGTGCTTTAAACTTCCTTTTTTAAAAAAAATAAAATCTGTCTTTTGTTTTCAACGATTGCTTTTATTGTGTATGTTTTAATGTTAAAACTGGTATACTTAAGTTGTTGTCATCTGCTTGTGAGCATCTTAATGGCAGAGAGGGATGTGCATGTTTTAAATCAATGTAAACCCTGGATATTAGTGATATATTTGTTCAACACTGACCTCACATTACATTCTGGAGAGATAAAAATAAACTAAAAACAGCCTTGGCTGAAGCTTTTCATTTTAAAACAAAAGCTAGATGAAATAGGAAAGAAAAGAGGAGGGACCACAAAAAGGATATATGGCAAAAAGAAAAGAAAATATTTCACCAAATAACAAAAGAGGAAAGAATATACATGCCTGCATGTGCTTCTTTAAAAATGAAAACTAAGAAAAAATATTTATAATTCAAATATAAGAGACCTCATCACCTTGGGGAAGACTGTGACCCAGGTGACTTGCGTTTGCACTCAGTCTATAGTCCAGGTCTCCCTCTGGATGGTCTGCTTGAAGACCTCTTCCACCTTCCCTTCTTAAGGTTCTCTCCCTTTAAAACAAACATAGACTAGGCAGCCCATCAGACCAAGGATACGTCAAATAAATGACTATCCCTAAACAATCTTGAACAAATGTCTTGAAAAGGATTATTGCAAAAAAGGAGGGTGTCGAGGTATTGAGTTGGATGCAGGCAGAAGAATGAATTGTTTCCAGTGGAAGAGAGCAAAACAATCTTTTCCAATCTTATGTCCTTTAGTTGCGCTGGGTTGCACCTCCATAATTCTCAGCAAGTCTGGTCAAGAGACTTTCTTAGGAATCCAAATTCTTCATCTAAAACTTATTTCTGTATCTGGGCAACTATGCATGCTATCAACTATGCATATAGTATCCATTCAGAAATATCCCATTGGGTTCACTGGGAATTATTCCCAAGAAAAGGTGTTTAAGGTTCCAGAAATATATTGTGCTATATAGAGAGACTGGAATGATGAAAAATCCCAGGGCAAAAGATTGGTACAGGATGGGACCCAAGTAAACAGTAATTAACAAATGCAATTCAAGTTGATTTAGTGGACAGCACTTATAAAAAATACATCCATCCACACTGACAATGTCCCAGTAGGGTCCTATTGAGAAGATGGGCCTGGATGGCATTTCTTAAAGGCTTCCTGCTGTTCTCAGCCAAAAATAAAAGCTCTTCTAAGCAAAGATGTCCAAGCAAATCTGAGTGGAAAGCCTAAAATGCTTTGACCTCAGTACTCTTTCACCAGATCCTCAGTACCCAGCCTTTGCAGTCTTTGCAGGGCACACTCAGCCTGCAGACGAGCCTCTGGTTCAGGGTCCCAACAGTCTTCTAGGAGTTCTTGCAAGTAAATAGCTACCTAGGGGACAGGACAGAGAAGGGGAAAAGCAGTTGTCAGGAAGAGACAACAGGAACTCTCCAGAGCGGACTTCCTCCCTAGTGCCTTATTCCAGATGTACTGAACTTCAATTTGCATCCTTCCCAGCCAATGGTGATCAAACTCTGGGAATTCCAATGCATCTGGAAGGCACTCAGATGACAAAAGCTGTTGCAGGAGATGTGACATGAGGTGCCAAATAAGGAGTGACCCCTGTATTTGGAATAAGGAATTTCAATAGAGCTTTCGCATCTAGTCATTCTAGTATGACCCCATGCCTAGTACAAAGGTTGGGAATCATCATTTCTCCTATACATGGCTAGGCAGATTTAAGCTTCAGAGAGCTAATTTTTTTAAAGAGAACCTTGACATCCACCAATGTAAGCCAGCTGCAAAGAGACATACTCAGAATTCTGAAATCAAGGTTTCATTTAAGTGTGCAAGAACCATCCTTTCAAAGCAAAATCCACTGTTGGTTACTCCAAGCTCTTTCTGTTTCAACTATTGAGTTTTGCATGAGGCAAAGGAGTAATTTTGTTTCCCCTGTCGTTAATAAACAGGGAATAAAATTCTGAACGAACTAATGTAAAATACCTGGAGTTCTATCAGCAGATCCAGATTCAATTTCCACCCTCCTTCCTATAGTTAACAGAACATAGTTCTTTGCAATGACCTCCCCTCTTGCCTTCAGCCCAAGATCTTTGCCCTCCGTCAAAGTTCTCTAGGAGCTTGTTCTATCTTCTCCTGCTATAATCTCCTGACGTATTTGTCCCCATGATCTTTGCTCCTTCAACATTACCATTCTTGGCTATCCAAAGGTCACCTATTTTGTTAGATTGATCCTTCCATTCCCTGTCACTGCATCCAGGCTGTGTCCAAAGTTTTGTGGTGCTACCCTAAGGGCAAAACGGCTGCAGTTGTCTTGCTTATTTCTACCTATCCATTAATAGCCCAAAACTTCCATCAGCCACCCAACATTTTTGTTCTCCTCAGCTTCTCCCTTGAACTCAAGCCACTATCCCAGGGGTGGAAAAATGTTGCCCAAAGGTCAAATGCAGCTTATCCTCATCCTTTCTGTGGCCTCCAGAATGGACAGGGCCAAACTTTCAGCCAATTTTCTCTCTTTTCCCTTTTTTTTGGAGGGGGTAGGGCTAAGGGGCAAGCTGTGTGCCCTTAACCTTGCAGAGTTTAAGGGACCCATTATACTTCTTAAAATCTACAAAATCAATTCCTGGTCCACTCTCTTTAGGAGTGTGACTTTCAGCCTGTTGTCTAAAGACTACTGCCCCCTATTTAAGCCTATGTTATGTTGCAGCTTAACATACTTGCCCAAATCTTCTCCAAGCTGGTGGGACAATTGGTCTTTGCCTTTCCTCAACAGCCAACCTTCGTAGTTCACTGTACGTAGGACTGCTGCCTAATTCTGCTTCATAGGCAAGCTGGAATGCAGGAATACTGTCCTCTGAAGAAACAGAAATGGGCTGTCTTAGCAAAGCAGGATTTGTGTGTGTGTGTGCACGTGCCAGACATATCCAGTGCGTGAGCAGCAAAGTGTTGCTTCAACTGACTTCTTCACACTTCATAGTTCCCACCCCACACCAGAGTTTCACTTCCAAGTGATTACTGCATTGCTGGATAATGGCTGTCACTGGAGTCAGAGTTCCAATCTACTAGTAAAGGGAGACCCAGTACATTGCAGTAGTATTTGTGGCCATTGACACCACCCTCTCTGTAGTGCACTGATTCACAAAAAGGATGAACTTTCATACAGAGACTAGCTATCCATTTACGGTTGCTGTACTGAATACTCTCAAGAGAAAGTGATTTATGAGAATTATCATACCAAAAGGAATCTTTAGTATGTTGCTGCCTATTTTCATCCTGTCAACTTTTGGGGGTTGAGCCTTGCATGTATTTTTTTTTTTTTAATCTGCGCTCAGTCGTTACCGACTCTGCAGTGACTGCTTGGAC